ATTCGGATGGACTTGGGCTAGTCGTTGTGTGATCCATGGCGTCTGTGTCGTTCTGGGATTGCGACTGGACCCCTGGCATCACCCGCGCTCTTCTTCGAGCAAAGGCAGAAAGATGGCAGCGTCGCGCAGAAACAAGACAAGGGGGGCGAGAAGTGCTGTGATGGGATACAAACCGAGGCGCATCAGATTCGGTCAGATACGTACGACTCCGACGTTGGCAGCTCGACTTGAGCGCCGGCAAGGTCGTCCCACAAGTGGATTTCTGGTCACACGTCAGGTCACAAGAAGCTCTACGGAGTACATCTTCAACGTCTTGGGAAGTTTCAATAGGCAACAAAGACTCCTTGGAGACGTCCCAAAAGAGTGGCCCCGAAGATGCCACAGACAGGAGGCTAAAGCTGTGCAAGAATCAGAGCACTCGGTTACATCGATCAAGCAGCGAGGAGACACCTCGAACAGACAGTGGAGCAAGAAAACACCGCCAACTTGAACCACTCCTTCCGCCACCCCTTACCAGGTACATGCCACTTCGTTCCACTGCGCGAGGGCATCCTGACCGTTAAACCCTTTTGAAAAGGCCTCTCTCATACAGCGTTTGGGTTGGTTGGCATAGTAGAAATGACCGCGTTTATTTCCCCAGTCCCAACAAATAGACTGCATACCAGGTGGGCCGGGATTGTTACGGCAACCTTCGTCCGCATTGAAAGAGCCGTAGTTCCCAAAGGCATCAACCCAAGCGTTGTAGCTGTGGCACGAGAGGGCGCATTTGGTCATGACAACGGCATAGTCAGCCAGGGCGGGATGCGTGCCCAGGGCGGCGACGAAAACGGTGGATAAGCTGAACTTCATGGTGCCGACTAGAGGTCAATATTAGAAACGGAACGGAAAGAGGGGTTGGGATAGAGGTCCGAGACATACTGATATCTGAGCTGGGAGAAGTCAACGTACTTTGTGACAAGAACAACCTGTGATTTCAGGTCTGGGGTTAAGTGAAATGATGAAGAGGAGTGATGGGGGGACCAATAATTAGAGGTCCATGCTTGTGCTTATATATCGACATACCTTCCGTATCCCGTCCAGTATCTCGAGATAGGGACTTGTCCCACTCCCTTCCGTTCTCGGCCACGGGGACCTTTGGAACTTGAGAGAAGCTGAGGTCGCCGAATATCGACATGTACCACACTGCCCTTTGCATGGGCCGGTTGGCAGTTAATTGGTTGTTGGTCAAGTGCATCGGGCATAGCTGCAGGTTCGACAACCCCCACACAAACAACCACCCTTGGTAGCGTCAGGTATGTACATAAGCAGCCACCGCCAGCCTCTTGTCGACCTTCGGCTTCTCTCGGCACCCCTCGCAGCGCCCGGTGCCGGGTGTTCCGAACATCGAAGCGCGGCTCATGCCTTTGAGCAGATTGTGCCTGTTGCGACGTCTGGACCCTTTATTTCGGCCTCTTGTCCATGTGCCTTCCCTCACTGTGATTAGTGTCACGCTCCCAGCCGTCGTCAAGTCTTGTCTGCGACCAACCGCCCAGTATTGTTTGAACACCCAGATATGGTGACCCTTCCCTACCAAGTTCAGAGGCTAGAAGAGTAAATCATATACTTGACTTGTAATTCAACAACTTTCTGCTTGATAACCACTTCAGGATCCTGGCCTCACCACCGACACTGCCGCCTTTTCAACGTTCTTCCCCACCACCCGCACCTCCAAAGGCTCCCAATCTCCGGCACCAACTTTGGTTGCAGTCAATGTTATCTTTTCCTTGGGCCACAGAGTGACATAATTGTCATCACAAGTCAGGGGTAGTACATCCTTGCCCTGTGTGTCCACGAGGTTGAGACTGACAAAAAACGCTGGCACCGCCGACTGGTTTTCCAAAGTAACAACCACCTGGCCGTCGGCAGTGATCGCAGTGCTGATCGCGACTTGGGCTTGGTCGAGTTTGTTGAGTGCAGTGTAGTCGGCATACCTGGTCACAGGTGTGACATACCACTCCGAGTTATCCCAGTCCAAAACATCCAGCTCCTTCGCAACCCAATACACATTGCGGCTCAACACCTTGCCGTATCCGTCCGAAAGAATCAACCGCAGGAATACGACGTTCCCGATGGTCCCCAGTGCCTTTGCTAATGAGGCCACCTCCCTGCTTCTGTTGATGTTGGTCGTCGCCGTGACCCGGCTGTTGTGGAGGACCGTGCCGTTTAGCCCCAAAACCTGCACGTCTATGTTCCTCACCCCCACTGACCTCAACGACCGGTTCACCAACCAGACAGACTTTTTGACGGGGTCAAAGACGGCATTCTCTACCCGCCCTCCAATCATTGCCCCAAAGTAACTCCCAGCCGGCCGCATGTAGTAGTCCCACAGATTCCAATGCAGCCCGGGCCAGGCGTTGTTCAGCATCCAGTAGATCAAGCCGGTCGCAGGGCGCTTCGCATTCCACTTGGCCGTGTACGCCTCAACCTGAGCCCGCGTAGCCTCGTAGTCCATCAGCTGCGACTTCATCAGGTAGTCTTCCAAGCCCGTGGGTGGCCCCCATCTCTTCCACAGCGCAGCATTGTAGATCTCCCTCGTCTCAAACTGCGACCCCTCCCTGGACAAGTGAAACAAGCTCTTATTCGGGCTCTTCCACAAATCATCCAACTCCCCGTCCCCCAAAAACTTTCTCAGCGACGCCAACTCGGGCGTTCCAACCCTGCCCCCAACTCCGACCCGAAGCCAAACGCCGCCCCATACCTCCCCTTCCCCAGCCCATCCACCCCCGTATCAAACCAATACGCCGGCGGCACCCAGTCATACGGCCCCTCCATCTTCATCCCCGACGGCCCCGTGCCCTTCGAAAACCCCCTCTTGCTCGCCGCCGCAACAACCGGCATCTGCCAACCGACCCCTTCCAACGCCCTCAAATACCCCGCCGTGGCCCGCTCATCCGGCCAGTAATCGCTCCCCACCAAAAACCCCATCACGCTCGGATGCGCCTGCATCATGCCCGCCTCGTGGCTCATGCTCCGCTCCGCAATCTCATAATCCCCCTCCCCCCACACGGGCGTGGGCTGCACGGCGAGGTCGGTGTTGTACGCCCACGCCTCCCACTTGTCGCAGCACTCCCAGCCGGGGAGGAGCATCACGCCCAGGCGGTCGGCGATGGAGTAGAGGAGCGGGTGCTCGTTCTTGCCCTCGAGGCGGATCGTGTTGAGGCCGAGGGACAGGGCGTAGCGCAGCTCGGATTCCCACCGGGACGGGGAGAAGCGGAGGAAGAGGTTGGGGCTGTAGCCTGCGCCGAGGACCTGGAAGGGGCGGCCGTTGATGTGGAAGGTGGTGTCGTTGTGGGCGTTGAGGGTGGTGGTGATGGTGCGGAAGCCGAAGGTGGTGGTTGCGTGGTCGGATTGGGTGTTGTTGTTACTGTTGTCGGGGCTGGTTGGGGTGATGGTGAGGGTGGCGTTGTAGAGGGGTTGCGAGCCCCATTGGCGTGGCCACCAAGTCACCGGGTTTTGGATGGTGGTATTGAGGACGATATCGGTGGTGGAGAGGGGCGGCAGGGTGAAGGCTACGTTCCAGGTTGTTGGGATGCCTCCTGAGACGGGGGCAATGATACCGGTTGCCGTGACGGCGACCGTCGAGTTCTCGAGGTTGTGTGCCCGCGCTTTAAGCGTCACGTTGGCTGGCCCCGTTCCGATCGGGCTGCTGTTCTGCGTCATAACACGCAGCGGCTCCAACATGACAGGGCCGGTCTGCCGGATTTCGACGTCTCGCCAAACGCCCGTGCCATTGTCCGCGGGCCAGGGGTTCCAGTCGACCCAACCGAGGGCAAGGTTACGGTAGTAGTCGGTCGGGTGTGCTTGGATTACCAACGCGTTGGTTTGGTTGACCATGCCGGTGATTTCATAGCTGCGGCCGACGTAGGAGCCTGCCTGCTCTGCCGAAGACGCCACTTGCTTCCCGTTGAGATATATGTCCGCCCTGGAAGAAATGCCGTGTGTTTGAAGAAAGTAGTGCTGGCCTGGGAGCGGCTCGAGTTCGAACTCGTTGCGGTAGATCCAGGGGACCAAGAACTGCTTGGCATCGACGTTGCGCAAGTTCTCCGAGTAGAAGAGTTCGTCCTCGCTGTAAACTCCGGCTTCAATCAGGCAACCCATGAGCGTGCATTTCGAGGCCACGACGTGGTGCCATGATGAGGTGTTGAGTCCTATGCGTGACAAGGTTTCAAGGTCGGTGCCTGTTTGCGCAGAAGATTGCAGGTCCCATGACGGGATCGCCGCTGTGTCTCCCGCTGAAACGACGAGCGCTGCAGCCTTGACTCCTTGGAATTCAGTTGCAAGGCCAAGAACCACGGCTGTCTTTTTCAAGCGCATTTTTTTGGTGTATTTGTACCTGCAAACGTCCGTCACTGGCCACTTGCACCTGAAAGCGAGAAGCTCCGCAGGTCAGGAGTTTGGGTAATCTGGGGATTGAACTCAGGAAGAGCGACCGTGAGCATGTTTCCAAGATGAACAGATTGCAGGGAGGAAAGGACGAGACCCGGCGCGTGTCATTGCTTCCTCGACGTGTTCTAACTTCTGTGAGGTCTGTGTCTCTTATATGGCAGGGAGCCCTCCCCGTTCCCCGCATTCCAGAACAACGTTACAGATTGATGTTGTACCGAGTGGCCACTTGGGAAGCAGTGCGATATTGATCGTTCCGACGCCCCACAGGTCAGCTCTATCGACGTCTCGTCCCTGATCGCGGCTCAAATGCTAAGGTAGCGTTTAAGACCGGTCGCCAAGTCGGCAGTCAGCGGGTAAAGATGAACAAAGAGAGATATCTTAGTTCTCATCCCGACCATTAATTTGTGCATCAGAAAACAAGACCTGTGCAGAAAACGACAAGATCTGTACAGGACAGCAGATCCGTGCCTGGGGACAGGAGTGCGACAACATGCGGCTTCCCATGATCAAGCTCGTCAAGGGAGACAAAAGAAGGAGTGGAACACAAAACTTGTACAGACAAGCAAAAGTGAAGCTGACAAGGGTGAGATTCGAACTCACGCCCTTTCGGACCACGGAACTCGTCGAGTTGAATTAAGGATGAAGTCCTTAACGTGGCGCCTTAGACCGCTCGGCCACCTTGCCTGATGCTTGTTGTCCGAGTCGTGTGCAGAGGCTTTTGTGGAGTCTCGGAGTGCTCGTAGTGTGTGCTCGCTTGTGGCTCGCTTCGAGCTGACAGGGCACAACCCTCGATGATCCACATCCGCTCCACCGACGACGCAGAGCCTTCAGCACATAACGCAACCTCGTTCCCTGTCCCCCAACAACATCGGAAACCACATTCGATTCATCGGGTATGGTGTAGCGGTAACATCGATGACTCTCAAGCAGGACTCATCAGCCCGGGGTTCGACTCCCCGTATCCGAGATTTTCATTCTTTTTGCCCGTTGGTCCTCCGACGGGTACTTCGCCGTCGTGCTCTATGGAGGGACTCAAGCCCGGAAGTCGGAGGAGAAGCTTACACGGCTTACTCCGGAGGTAGGAGCACGTCCAATGTGTCTTGCCAAGATCTCTGGCTTTTGTTTGGCTCACTTCAGTTCTCTTGATGAGGCAAGAAGCCCAGGGACTGTCAGGGGTATCTGTGCTTAGGCAGACACTTGCAGATAACACGACTATGAATTGTTGTATTGATAGTATGAACCTATCATGCACGTCTCTCGTCTGTGGCTTCTTCAACCGGCTTTTCTCTCCCCTTCCTGTCCAGAGTCGGTACATGTAAGCAATTCCACCCAGCCAGACACCCCTTAAAAGTTCGCCCCGCCACACTGAATCGACCTGGCGTTGTGATGCCAGTACCCTGGGAAGTCCGCCTTCCGCGGCTCATACCATTGCCGAATGTCGGCCAAACCAGGCGGGAAGATGGTCTTGGACCGGAAGTTCCCAACTGTGTCATAGCAGTCGCCGGGCTTGACGGTAAAGGTGCAGACAATGTCTGTCTCAAGGTTAGATTCTGGCTCTCTGCGGGACTAGACCATGGATCTTACTGTCTGGGATCCAGATGGAGCCGATGGTGTCGTAGGGCATGACCCGGCAGTCGTTCACCTTCTCGTAGGTGAGAGACTTGGAAGGGCCCGTGTAGTTTCTGAGACACGTCAGCCTGGCCTTGTATGTCTTGCGGTGTTTAAGTAGCGTACGGGCCAGCCCAGATCCAAATGGTGTTAGGGGCACGGGCGACAATCTACTTGGTTGCTTAGCTTTTTCAAGGCGATAGCTTTGCTGAGATGCTCGTACCTCGGCCGCATGGACTGGAAGGTCTCGGCTGGCCTCGACGGTGGGCGCTGCGGACACCAACCCAGAGAGAAGCGCAGGGACGAAAACGAGAGCAGCCTTGAAGGAAACCATGTTGACGGCGTGTTGATTGAGTTTGTTGGATGTGGACATAGAAGCAGTTTGGTTATTGAGTCTGAGGCAACTTGTGTTTTATACCGTTGAAGCATGTGTTTAACTCGAGTCCCTGTTGCTGCCCAGCATCGCTACCATGAAAATAACTGTTGCGCATGCTGTATCCTGACCAATTAGGCACTTGCGCGAGGTTCATTTAAACTCGCCTGCTGACTGCAGAGAGTCAGCATCGTCAATGCAGGGTCTTCGTATCCTCGCGATTCCGGCTGTCTAATTGGCTGCTGCAACATGTCTGCCTCAGGGCTGAGGGCTTGTTCATCGCTGACCTTGAGTTTCGTCGTGGCTATGTAGATCTGAGTACTCTCTTTGGCCTTTGAAAGTCCAGAGATCAACACTTTCTCTGCTTGAATTGACGCCAAGCATGGGCAACTCGGGACAATGGACATCACATCAGGTCAGCTCAACCTCGGTCCTTCTCGGGCTTCGGCTCTCGGCAAACCCTAAAACTGGTTATATTCTGCTAACTTACCATTGATGGCCGGAGCAGTTCATACGATTTCTTTGTTGCTTAAGATGACAAGCCCGGGTAAATGTGTCGAGCGCAAAACCCTGCTGGTGCGGAGTGTCGATCTACTCGAAAGGAGACAGTCCGGGGGGAACCGTCGGGCCAACTACCACCCAAGACGAGTGAGAGAGTCATTCCAGGCTTGTGTCAGCTCCTCGAAAATGAGTCTTTTTTTTGGGAAGATGAGAAAATGACAGGACGATGCGACTGGGTGCGGATTGCGGAAATCAATGATCTTCTCGAGCAGGTCCGTTTGTCACGGCACTGCATCCGATAAAATGCAAAGACGTTGTTCAATGTACCCAGAACCTGTTTTTGTGGACGCATCGCATCACTGGTAGATCTGTAATCTCAGGACCATCAATGCGTAGCATAATCTGCTCTAGGCTACACTTTACCAGACCACGTCTCGGAAGCTCCACGACGAGAAGAGGGAGCTTGATAGCCAAGAATAGAAACTGCCTCGGTTATTGCTTGGCAGAGTGGGCCTGCTCCTGTGGTGACCCGCAACACCAAGGTTTCACCCCTGAACGTAATCGGTCCACACAAAAACTCTGACCTCGCACCCCAGCGTCAACAACAAACGAGTCAGCCTCGCCCGGCTAGCTCAATCGGTAGAGCGTGAGACTCTTAAAAGAGACTCCATCTCAAGGTTGTGGGTTCGACCCCCACGTCGGGCTCAATTCCCGTCCAACGATTACCTCCTCGTTTGACTCTCTTTTTGCCTTTTTCCCTTTCCCAACAGGACAAGGTCAGGTCATTGCTTGTAGTGCTGCGTCATGTCATACAGCAGCGACGGCAGCCCAGGCTGTTGTCCACAAGTCAGTGACTGTCCCGGATTGTACTCGTTCGTCACTCACATTTGGCGGTTCATCCCCCTTCGTCGGTTCCTGCATCTTCTTCATCATCTTGAAGAACGGGTCCTTGTCCATCGCCTCGTCCGGGCTCGAGTACTTGAACAGGCGCGTCATGTTTTCCGAGGAAATCGGATTAATGATGTCGTGCCAGATCCGCCGCCTTACCTCGTCGTACTTGTCAAGGATCGAGTCGTCTGCTTTCCCCGTATGGATCCCGACCAAGCTGTCGTAGAGGCCGCCGACGTCGGCAATGCCACCTGTAAGGCCCATTCCGCCGCTGTACCTCGTCAGCTCCAATCTCAAGCCCATAGTGGTACCAACATACAAGGGGTTACACAGGTGGGCAGCATCCGCCGCCAAGAGGAACCGCCCGACACGCATCTTGTCCACGCAGCGTTGGTGCACCTTGTAAGGGCTGAAGTTGACAAGCTTGTACTGATCTGGCGTCGGGTTGCCGGGCAGAAACGCCTGGAACTTCTCCGGTTGCCGAGCCTTCAGCTCATCGTAGCTGAGTCCCGCCTTCTCGCCGTACGTCACCCGGCAGAGGCCATCAGCCTGGATGCGAGCCACCATGTGCCTGTTCCTGGTCAGCGTGTCCCCTGTCTGCATTTCCCAACAACCCCCGTCACCGACTCACCAATGCTCCGGATGCACAAAGAACTGACTATCATCATAGTCATACGGCCCAAAGTCATAATACATGTTGGTCGCCACAATCTGCTCGTCCCACGTGAACCCCGGGAACACATATCCCCCAAAAGCTTCCTCCTCACGATGCTGTTCGCCCCGTCACAGCCCACCACATAATCCGCTCCCTTACCTCGCTTCTCCTCCCTCCTTCTCCACCCGCACCCACGCCTTTCCCCGGGCCTCATTCTCCCCGATCTCCACCACCTTGTGGCCGTACCTGATCTCTGCCCCGGGCTGCTTCAGCACCTCCCCTCCAAAATCTTCCCCAGCTTGTGCAGCGGCAGACAGACCATCCTGTACCGCCCGGCCCCCGTCTCATCGTCGTCGTCAATGGCATTGTGCAGCGCGACGAGCCGCGTCTTGTTCTCGTCCAGCCGCCGCCACGACACGCCGTCGGGCAGGAACCCCTGCGCGCGCACCTCGTCGAGGATGCCGGCGCGGTCGAACTCGATGCAGGATTCGGACGTGTAGTGGCTCGCGCGCGGGTTGGTGTCGAGGGAGTGGGTCTGTTCGAGCAGCTCGACGGGGACGTGGGCGCGCGCGAGGAGCAGCGCGAGGAGCAGGCCTGAGGGTCCGGCGCCGACGATGATCACTTTGGTGAGGGGCATGGCGGTTGTTTTCTGAGAGTGAGGAAGTTGGTGTGTCAATGGAGGGTGGGTTGGGGTCGGTTGCACCGGACTGGCGAGCGGTGGTTTGGTGGGTATTAGTGCCAACAAGGAGGGAGCCAGATGCACAATGTCGAAGTTGGAGGCAGAAGTACCACGCATGCATTGGGGAAACAGTCTCAGCAATCGTATTTTTGTCTACACGGCTCCAGATGTGTACCCCGAGATGGTATGATATCTCGAGTGTTGGCTGGACAGCTCCCCCGCTTCTCCGCACCGATGCCGTCGGCAGAGTCGACGAGCATCCCCAAAAGGATGAGATTGGGGATAATACCCCAAGGAGGGGACATGCGCCCCGCGGGTAAATGGGGCCGCTGATGTGAGACGTCATGGAGCAGGCGTTACCCCAAGGTCGTCAGAAGGGATTCCGCCTGCCTTTTGGCACTTAGGTTGACGAACGTGCTTGGGGAAACCGGGTTCACGTATAGACAGTGTGGATGAATGTTGAATGAAGAATACGTACTCCGTCACTTAATCACAACAAGTAACAGCTTTAGGGATTGAGAACGTACTGTAGGTAGGTACCTGGTAAGCTTCTGCCACAGGAATCTCAAATTGCAGGGGTGTTGAGGGTCAGCTCTGGCTCTGGCACGTTTGGTGGTACGGAAAGCCTGGGCGTTTGCCATATAATATGATTGCTTGAGAGTAAGTTGCAAAATTGAGGAACCTCACAATACAGAGAGGCAATTGAAGAGCTGAGTTGAAGAGGGAGAAACGTGGATGTAGGTCTAAGGAGCCAGGATTGCCTCCCGTTTCTGCAACAACAAAGAAAAGCACTTACAGTGTGGTGAAGATGTCAAACCAAGCGAACGTTACCAAGTTGTCAAGTATCCAAGAGAAAGCACAAACAGTGGAAACTCCCAAGCTCACTACATCCACTCCCATGGTATCGACCTCCACTTATCCCTCTCAAACTCCATATAAGGATCCTCCAACATCTGCCTCCCCGTCTCCACCGTCCTATCCGGCAATGCACCCACCGGAAACCCCATCGGATCCTTCCCAAACCTCCACTGCCACGCGAAAGTCGCCGGCGCGTTCGCCCACGGCACCGGCACCGGCGCCTGCGCCGTCGGCCTCACCGTCTTTGCCTGCGGCCCCGTCAGCCACACCTGCATCGTCGCGTCGTCGACCGTCTCGAACCCAAACCCGGGTACGTCGATCCCGGCCTCGAAACACCCCCAGATGTCCCGCGTCAGCACCACATCCGCACACTGGGCGGTCACCACCGGCGCGTCCGGCAGGTAT